CCCCTTGTTGAATATTGCAAAATAAATCTCTAAGTTGTTCCACCATTTCTGCTTGCAAAGTTTTATAATACACTGCAGTCAAACCATCCGTTCCAGGAGCTTTAGCTGTTTTTAATTGTTTAATTGCTACTATTATCTCCTCCTCTGTTATAGGAAATTCATTCTTTCCTTTTGTTGATTAGTAATTTTTGTGACTCTTTTATTATCTAAATATTTTTCTATAAGTCCATTCTGCATATCATCTTTAGCATATAGTTTAGTATAATAGTCTACAAAAGCTTCTTTAATTAATTTTTGTTGAAAGATTTCTTTCCCTCCAATATCAATACTATCAATAGTCCGTATACTCTGCTTCTTCCTTAATGTATAGGCCAACCATCTGCCCGGTTTATTGGCGTTCAAAATGTATTGTGCTTCGCATATTGTAGATTTGTTGCAACTTGTTCCGCCATAAGCATTTGGAATTGGTCTTTCAAAAGTTTTATAGCACCACGTATTCTTTCATCTGTTGGATTTTTAATAAGTAGCTGTTCTTTATTCTTTATTTCTGCTTCCAGTTCAGATCTTTTCTTTTGTCGATTCAGTCTATGTTTAGAATTCATATTAATGAGTACCCCTCTCATGTAAGCTTTGCTCGCATCCCACACAATTTCAATTGGGGTACCCTTATTCAAGTTCATTTCAAAAAATTCTTTCAGCTGCTTTTTAAGTTCTGTTATATTTTTTTCATATCTGAACAGGTTTTCATTTAATCTCCATGATCATCTCTCAATTTTACCCATCTCAATTTCTATCCATACTGGGCTATGGTCGGTCAAAGTTCTTGGAAAAATCTTTGTTCTTTTTGTCTTAACAAGTAGATCATCTGACAACAAAATAAAATCAATCCTAGAGAAGGATCTATGTCTATCAGAAAAAAAAGTATAGTCCAATTCTTTTGGGTTATGTATTCTCCAAATATCTTTTAATTCCAAATCTTCTTTCATATCAAAAAAAGTCTGTGGTAGTCTGATCCTTGATTTCGCCAAACTCTTTTTATCTAATTTAGAATCAATTACTCCATTCCAATCTCCCATAATTAGAATAGATCTATAATCCCATTGCAGTATTTTAGTGTGTAACATTTTATAGAAGTGATCCTGTTGTTGATTGGGAGCATAAATTCCAATCAAAAGAATTTGGCCGTTTACTGTAAGCAATTCAATTGCTATAAACCTACCATCTTCATCTGCTTCTATAATTTTAGCTGTCAATCTTATGTTTACATAAATAACCACACCATTCTTTTTTTGCAAAGTTGAAGCTATAAAATGTGTTCCTAATTTAGAGTTTATCAAGTATTTTGATCTTGAGTTCTAATATGAGTTTCTTGTAAACAAATTATATCATTATTAAATTGTCTCAAATATGTGAATAACTTCTTCCTTTTCTGTAATGAATTCAAACCATTCACATTCCAAGATAAGCACTTAATTGTCATCTTTATCTTTTTGAAGCGACGAGCAGAATAGCCGAAGATCTTCCGAAATCTTCGGTTTTGCTCCCCCCATGGCTTCAATCTCTTGTGTAGTACTCTTAGCTCCCTTTTTGTATTGTCGTTCCTGTTGTTGCTTTTCTTTAAGTTGCTTAGATTTTGCACGAGTTATACGCTGGTCTTTGACTTCAACCATCCGAGCCGGGTCCAAGATTGGAGAAGATTCTAACAGGTGGTCCTCCAGAAAACCTCCTTCAGCACCCTGCATTTCCTCTGGCTCCGCCTGCTTAGACTGTTCTTGCACCTCTTGCTGGAGTTGCTTCTTATCACTCTCCTTAATCTCCAACACTGTGGATGTACGTGGAGATGGTGTTCTCTCTTTAAGAATAGTAGAATAAAAATATTCCGCCTTCTCAACAGTGTTCAACCGATATCTTTCTCCATTGTATTTCAAAATTATACCAGTTGGGGCATCCCACCGGAATGGTATCTGTTGTTTTTTCAATTCATTCACTAGAAAACCAAAATCTTTTCTATCTTTCAACATTTTGGGTGGAAATTCTTTATAAACTCCAATTTGAGCCCCCTCCACTTGCACAGAGGAAAGAAAAGATTTTTGCAGGATATCATTTCTTATTGTTCTGTCTATAAAATATATCACCACATCTCTAGGCAATTGTCTTTGTCTGGCCACCCAGGAGTTCACTCTGTAAATTTTGTCTATTTTATAAAAAACCACTTCAGGATTAATTTTTAATAACACAGCCAGGGCATCAGCACAAATCTGTCTCAAATCCTGTCTGTCATTCTCTCTGATTCCTCTGAGCCTTATAGCGAATTCCATGGCCCTGAATTGCATCATTGTAATTTCATTTTCAACTCTCTGCATTTTATCATCAACATCAGAAATTTTATAATCAGTATCCTTAATCTTAACATTGACTTCTGATTTAAATTCTTCCACTTTGGAATCCACTTTAATAATAAATTCTGAGAGGCCAGACGCCACATCTAATATTTTTTTAGACACCTTGCCATAATCCTGTTTCACCATATTTTTAATTTCATTAATTTCCTGCATAATTTCCTGTTGAGATTTTTGAAGTTTATCATCTATTTCCTGTGAGATTTTTGAAATTTATCATCCAAAGCCTGAGAGATAAATTCTTTTAAATTTTCAAAATCAAAATCTTTTTTCTGAGTCTGTTGAGCGGAAGGAAGCTGCTGTTCATGTTTGTGTGTGGGGGATCCCCCCCCCTGCTGCCTTTCCTTCCTGCTTCTTTGAAGCCATCCTGCCACGTAAGTTAGATTTTCTGAAAAGGGAAATCCTTTTTCCTTTGCCACCTCCACAGAGACCTCTGAAAAAGTCCCCCAGGTTTAATCAAATAGAAACTAGACTGAAGCAGACTCGGATTTTAAAGAAAGAATTTTTTCCTCTTCTCCTGTTCCTCTTTATTACAGGCAGCGCAACTTTGTAGCAGATCAAAGTAGCTTCACAAATCCACTCTCGCTAGCTCGTTAACTCTGCTGCTGGGCGCCATTTTTTTTTCAAATCACTTTCACTCGCTCATACTTTCTCTTAAATCAAAAAGTCACCAAAGCATTAATACTTGCGATTTCCAAGTTTGAGGGTTTAAGTTGATATTTCCGCTGTTTGTTAAGGTTGGTTTCATTCGATTTAAACGTTTGCTGCAACCAGCTTGTTCTGCAGGAAGCAGAATCGTCCCACGCCGTCCGGAGTCTGGCAAGTTGAAAGGGAGCCGCGCCTGTTTCCTCCCCAGTAGCAATTTTCTGGGGGCTCACAGGGGCTCAACCTGTACGTTGCCTACTCTCCTCCTACAATCCTACGGATTTCAGAGTTTTCAAGCCGCTTCTCGATATCGAAGTGGCTCTACAGACGGCGGGGCTGGCAGTCCTTAAGAAGAGACCGTCTTCACCGGAGGCCAGCAAACCAGAAGTTCAACAATTAGATATCTTTAAATGGTGGAATTTTCAAATGTTCATTGGAAAATAGTACATGGCTAAATGTATTGGAAGTGCCCTGTCTGTTTTGTATTTTGTTTTGCTTTTCCTTTAGAAAAGTTATTCCAGATGCAGCAAATTCTGAGGGAGTTCAGATAATTTTTTTCCTACAGTCAGTGGCTTTATTTTTTATTATGATGGTGATAATAATCATGAGGATAAGACAGCTGAAAGAATCTACTATTTGAAGGATTTTTAAATATATTTTATTTATTTAGCATATTTATATAGTCATCCATCTCAAAACATTGAGTTCTGGGTGGCATGTTCCTAGGTATACCATACAAATAAATCCAATCTATTTGTTTGAGATTATTAGTTTGGGTTTACAAATAGGAAAGAAAAATTGTAGCCTGTAAATTTGATTGACTTTGGGTAAATTTTATTAGATATTATGTTACCTAGCAGAAAATAGAAATCTGTTCATGTGCAAAACCAAAACAGGGCAATCTGTCAATGATTTCTGTCTCCAATCTACATTCTTGTTCATGAAAACGTAAATTCCTTAAATATTATAAACTGGAAGAAATAAGCCATCCTAAAGGCAATTATATCCATGTGTCTGAAATTAAGTCTTTGGAATTTTCTGAATACCAATTGAAAAAAGATATTTGTTATGTCACATGGTTAGATTGCAAGATGCAAGACTGAATACAGCAAAGTGAATTTTGTTTCTTTAACAGGATACAGTATTCTGTATGGGAAGGGTTCAAATCAAAGTTGATTTTTCATTTCACATCTAAGAAAGTTTTAAAAACTATTAATTGCAACTTGGTTTAAGCAACCAATATTTTTCCTGGGTAGTTGTCTTGTTTACTTTTGTAATTTTCAGACTTAAACAGAAATGCGCTCACATTATTTTAAGCAAACTAGAGGCTACTTTGCAAAACAACATATTGTTCTCTGCTCAGATATATATCCAGTGTCATGATAGCCACGAATAAAAACACCAATCAATCATATTTTTTCCTGTTTACATTTGCTTCATCAGCTTTTGAAAGTTTTTAAATCATGAGCAATTAATCCTAAAATACTTTTTGTAAGTAACTATGCCAAGAACATTAAATAATTAACATTCAATAACATTTTTAAAATTAAAGATGGAAAATACCAAAAGAATGGGAATATTGTCAAATATTCTCAAGGATTAGGTACAAGTTTCCAAATATTTGGGAGTCAGTTTTTCAGTAGTTGAGAATGGGCGGAGAAGAAACTGGACAAAATATTCAGAGTTTATTTCTATCTCATTAGAATTTGAAGTTCTTGAATAGTTTGTGTGGTGCCCCAAGTGTAAAATTCAGAAATATCAAGATTGCCTATAGACAATAGCACAGCAATTGAGATTAATAATTTTTAAAATTCTGTATTGTTATTCAGGAGCTACAGCAGTGATAATCTTATAAAAAGATATCAGATTCCAACATTGTTGGCTTTATTAAACAATAGTCTATTTAAACTTTGCAATATAATATATTATCTAATTTCTCAAAAATCTTTTTTCCAGCACTGGTTGACAGAACTTGAGATCTTTGCTATGATTTTTGCAGCTGCTATCCATGACTATGAGCACACTGGAACTACAAACAACTTTCATATTCAAACACAGTAAGTGCTGAAAGATGAGCTATGATCAAGCAAAAATGCTGGAAAAATGCTGAAGAGGAGTTTGCAAAATCAATTTAATAGTTTTAGATATTAAATCTATTGGGTACATTTGCCATTAAATTTCTAAGTCTTCATTCCAAAACATGCACAGAAAAGAATCTGAATAGCATTTGTACAGTCTTTGTCAACATACATATGCCTATTAATGATGTGGAAAACACAGACAACTACAGATGAATAAAATGGTTTGATGCTGTCTGTAAAATCCATAATTAAAAATCAAAATATATAATTAACTTTAATTAAGAAGCAATAGCAGATAAATTGCAAATATATAATGTTGGCAACAATTTAGATGAGGATAATTTTCAGAAACATCCATTCTGCCGTAACTGAATTTATATTTGATGGCATTCAAAAGGAAATAGTGAACAAATCATGACATGAAAGAATGATACATAAAAATTAGGATAGCAGTATGAGAATGGAATGAATTGCTTTTTAAAGGCTTATAACACGTAGAAGCTGCTAAACCATCTGTTGCATTGTTTGATTTTCTGCATTGGGGCTAGATAATCCCAAGGCTCCTCCAATGTATTATTCTATATTGAAATGTAAGTGGTTTATTTTTACTTGAGTATCTGTAATTTCAAGGGGAAAATCAAGTACTACTAAATTTTCAGGAAAATTAATCTCAGAGCAGTTTAAGCCACCAAATTTCATACAAAACTGCTCCAAAATTTTGAAGTCATACTTTTTTACAGTGGAAGCTATTAAAAGGTCTCTTTTTATTTTTCTTTGAAACAAAGATAAAGGAGACAGACAATTTTCTGTTTATATGGACTCACCCTCACTGTGCACAAGCGCGCGCGCGCGCGCACACACACACACACACACACACACACACACACATCAATAGACCCAAAATAGAAATGGGAGGTAGAGGGAGAAATTGATTAGACCAGGGGTCTTTAAACACTCAAAGAGCCATTTGGACCCATTTCCCACAGAAAAGAAAACACCGGGAGCCACAAAACCTGGGTAGGCATCGCCAACTCGATATCATTCATTTCCACCTAGTCACATGACTGTCTCCCTCTGTCTCTTTCTTTCTGTCTCTTGTCTCTCTCCCCCTCTCTCTCTTTCCCTCCCCCTCCCCCTCCCCCTCTCTCTTCCTCTTTCCCTCCCTCTCTCTCTCTTTCCTTCTCTCCCTCCCTCTTTCTCTCTTTCTTTTCCTCTCTCTGACTGTCTCTCTCTCTCTCTCTCCCTCTCCCTCCCCCCCTCTCTCTCTCTGTCTCTTTTTCTCTCTGTGTCTCTTTTTCTCTCTGTGTGTCTCTCTTTCTCTCCCCCGCTCTGTCTATCTCTTTTTTCCTCTCTCTTTCTCTCTCTCTCTTTCTTTCTCTATCTATATCTCTTTTTTCTTTTTCTTTCTCTCTCTCTCTATCCCCCACTCCTTCCCTCTCTCCCACTGCACACACCCACTTCCTAACTCACACACCCAGGGAATAATTTTAAGGAAATTCAGCTGTGTTCTCTCCATCTCTGGAAAGATACAAAAATAAACCTTGCATTGCAAAAGGAGTGACAGTCAGGCCGTTACATCACACTGCCATGAGGTTGCCACCTTAGATCGCTGCACACACTTCAGAGAAGCATCATCCCAAGCAGCAGCCCACGGGCACGTATACACATCCTGCAACTCAGTCCAAAGTGTCCAGAAAGTATAGTCCCTGGGTGCCCCCAAAGACGCATGGCAGGCAAAGTATGGGACAACCTCATCACCAAGACAACGTCCGCCGAATCCTTGCAAAACTGGGCAAAGGTGGAGAGAGGGGAGCAGATGGAGCCAAATCGAGTCAAAAATCTCTCTCTCTTTCTCCCCAACTGCAGCAGAAAATGGCGGGCAGCTACTTCTGGCCTTGGTTGGTGCTTGGTTGCAAGGTCACATTTGGCTCTGCGTCATAATGGGCTCCAAGAGGAGGAGGGGACCCCATCTTCCCCAGTTTGAAGCGCCCTAACTTTCACTGTGCTGTACATGGCAGGCAGCCCATGGAGATGGTGGCAACAGTGGCGTTGGGAATACAGCAGAGGGCTGAAAGAGCCACATGCAGCTCCAGAACCACAAGTTGCCAACACCTGGATTAGACATATAAAAGACAGGAGAAGACAAAGTCCACACAACAATATTGTTTATAGGTCTTAAATGGAGGCTAAAACCATGACAAGTTATTTGTGTAACATTAAATGAATGAAGGTGGATTAAATTTTTAAATTTTTTAAAAAAATTCTAGTCCAATTGAACTGATGCTATGGGATATAAAAGAAAAAGAAAAGGAAGAGAATTTGAATAATAAATTAAAATGAAAGGATAACAGAAAGAGAATCAAGAAAAGACTAGAAAAAGAAAATTCAGTTGGCTTTTCATGAGAGGATTTTTATTTCTGTATCATATTTCAGTATTCCCATCTTACTAACTAAATAAGTTGAGCAATTTACAGATAAAAAGTCATAAAATCATATGAAAGATATTGTTATAATTAAAACTAAATGACAAACAAATAAGAACAAGGATAAAAGATAAGTTAAAAGACAGAGGGAGCATTCTCGGGCCACCAATCATCCTCAAAGTTGTATACCACTTTTTGATACCCATGCACATTGGGAGAACCAGGTCTTCATGTTCTTTTGGAAGGCCAGGAAAATAGGGATTGATCTCATTTTGGGGGACACGATGTTCCATAGTGCAGGAACAAGAGTAGTTGAGACTCTTTTCATGGAGTCTGTCAGGCAAAATTCTTTAATTGATGGGGTCTATAACATATATTCTCTGCTTGACTGATGAGGACATGTGACTATAATTTGGATGAGACATGGTCCCAGGCAGTGGTGAAATCTATTTTTTTTTACTACCGGTTCTGTTGGTGTGGTGTGGCTTGGTGGGTGTGGCTTGGTGGGCATGGCAGGGAAAAGATACTGCAAAATCTCCACTCCCACCGCATTCCAGGGGAAGGATATTTCAAAATCTCCATTCCACCCCACTTGGGGCCAGCCAGAAATGGTATTTGCTAGTTCTCCAAACTACTCAAAATTTCTGCTACTGGTTCACCGAACTGCTCAAAATTTCTGCTACCGGTTCTCCAGAACCTGTCAGAACCTGCTAGATTTCACCCCTGGTCCCATACCATGAATGGCTTTAAAGATGAAAATCCACACACTAAATTGGGCCAGGAAGCAAACTGGAACATTCACAACATCCCTTAATTCACCCAAGATGGAGATACACAATTGGGTATCATATGCATACTAACGATGTCTCATCCTGTGATGGTGGGTGATTTTACTTAATGTAGGTGATTTCATCCATGTAGTGCTAAAAAGGAGGAGAGAGAGGATAAATCCTGATGTACTTACAAAGAAGGGCTGTGGGTTGGATCTCTCACTCCCCAACAACACTGTGCAGAACCAGACTCAGAGTAAGGAGGTGAATCAACACAGAACTGTGCTGCCCACTCTCAACTGCAATTACTGGTTAATGGTATCAAAGAGGTCAAGAAGAGTGAGGTTGGACACACTAACTCAGAATAAAATTAAAAACAAAATGCCAATAAATAGGGCAGAAGTATTGTTATCTATCACGTTTCTACAATGAAAGTTATAGACAAGGTTCAGAAAAGCTCACAAATCAGATATTGTAAAACTTAGGGGATGAATAGAGGAGGAACTCAAATATTATCTAGTTCTGAACAGGTTATTTAAGCAAACATATATAAGGAAAAAGACAGATATTTTGGAGTTATACCATTGTTAAGGTTCATTGTCAGGGATCAGCCTACAAGTTTCCTCTGTATGAATAAAGTGCAGTAACACTTCAGTGTGTCATGAAACTGATGAGCTGATGGACATATGATGAATATTAGAGAATAATATTTGGGTGCCTGTGGGAGTACTAAAGTACAAGAGTAAACATCTGGTTTTGATGGAGCAACTTAGCATTCACATTGCAGCCTACACATTCTTCCAGTTACCAAGAAAGTTGAAGAACAAATATATCTCTTGTTGAAGTGGTTACAGTTTTGAGCCTGGATAAAAGGAAATTATGTTGAAACCCATTTCAGCTGTGAAATATACTGTATGGTCTTTCAGAGATTTTTCACAATGAACTTTCATACAATGTAATTACAAGACTAATATAATGCAATGAAAAATGATGCATTCCTTTTCATCTGTTAAAACATATAAAATACAAAATAAGCATAGTATTAATTTTTCTGTTAATCCCATTATTATTGCCTTCTAGACACTTCCTAGAAATAGATATAACCTTAATGTTAATGGAGTTTAATAACCTTAATGTTAATGGAGTGTGAATAAAAATGGCTTTATGGATTTTTTTTTACTATAATCTGGCATCTTGATTTATTCCACAGCATTTTGAGGGAAAGGGGCAATAATAAAAAAAGAGAGAGAGCAAGTTTTATCAATGAACTGTGATTTTCATGAAATACCTTAGAATAATTTATCTATGGAGATTCTCAGTCATTCAGATCATGGTTGTCCCAAAAGTGTTTTTTTTTAAAGGCAACTGGACTTGAAAATGTTTCACTTCTCATCCAAGAAGCTTCTTAGAATAATTTACTAAATACATATGAAGTGGGGGGAAACTTCTCTGGCCTGAAAAAATTAAAATGAAATTTGGTTTTCTCATCCATTTCTTACAAAAAAATAAATACTAGAAATGAATAATTTGGTACTGAACAATAATATTTTTAGCTATAGCTAGAAGAATAAAACCAATCTTTGCATATAAGAATGGACTTTTTTTGCTTTATAGGTCAGATACAGCCATTCTATACAATGACCGATCTGTGTTAGAAAATCATCACCTAAGTGCAGCATTTCGACTTTTGCAAGACGATGAGGAGATGAACATTTTGTCTAATCTCTCCAAAGATGATTGGAGGTAAGAATGCTGGTTGACCTTGATGGTTGTCAACATGATTGTTCTGGGTATTAAACGTACTCAGTTAAAATCTTGATTCATGAGCAACTAGCAGAAGATAGTTGGTTAGCAGTTAATGTGAGAAGCTGTTGAGAGGAAATGTATACTGAAGTAATTCAACTGAAATATAAATCATTTTAAAGAATGCCATAACAATGTGCCACTTGGTAGGGTTGCTGTTGCCAAAGAATGGTAGGAAAACAGTACAAAATTTACATCTGGTCAATGAGATAAAATGTTGAATTATCCCAAACAATATTGGTTCCCAAAGTTTGTTCAATTATTTCCCAAAAGTGCAATGTATTCCAAGAAGAAATACATCTTCTTCAGCACCCGTAAGTAAAAAACAATATGATCAAATATGGAAAACTGTATATTTTCTCATATTAGTTTACATGGAAGGCAAAGAAAAAAAACTTTTTAAACAGGAGTGCAGTAAGTTCTGAAACTTACAGAATTTGTTTCTTTATATAGACTTTTTAAAATATAAATCTTCATTGAAATACTTTTGTTACAATCATGCTTAGTTGTTTTTTAGCTGCTTTTTTAGGTGAAAATAGCTTGATCAGGGCTGTCAAACTCGATTTCATTGAGGGCTGCATCAAGGTTGTGTTTGACCTTCGGGGGACAGGTGGGCGTGGCCAGAGTGGGTGTGACCAGTATGATGTCACTCATGTTGGAGGGGGCTGTGGTGGCCCAAGCTCTCCACCAGTAAAAAATGGACTCCTGAGCTTTGTTTTCGGCTGCAACAGCCTCCTGCAACCTTCTGCCAGTGAAAATGGAGCTTGAGAGGGCCACACATGGCCCTCACAAGCTCTGTTTTGGCTGGCAGAGCCACCACAGGCCGGTCCTTCACTGTTTCCAGGGCAGCCCGTGGGCCACATCTAAGCAACTTGTGGGCCAGATTCGGCCCCCGGATCTTGAGTTTGACACCCTGGGCTAGAGTGTCATCCTTGCAAGATAGTCCAAAGTATAAGAACACCCAAATGTAGTAGTTCTACTTTATTGTAAGGTTACACTAACAGAATCTTACAAATCTTTTTTATTTTTATTTTTTTTAATATTTAGATATATATAAGTATTGAACAGTGTGGCATCTGAGTATTGTTAGTTTTGGTACCAAATAATAGTAATGATATTGACAATTTTAGTAATCTTAGTTACATTAATCATACTCACATCATTATAGTAACATTATATATAATACACTCATCTTTCAACTTCTGATCCTTTCCTTTTTGTAAAGGATTTTGGAATATTATATGGAAATATGCATAATAATATTTTCCCCCTATAATATAAGAATATAAGAAATATAAGAATATTTCAATTCTTGTTGATTTTTGGAATGTTTTCCATACTTCTCCCTTGGGATTTTATATAAATTACGTTAATCAAACTCATATCATTATAGTAACATTATAAATATTACAATTAAAGTTGTTAGCATTGTAATATTTGCCCCACCATATATATATAACCCTTCATCATTTAATTATTCAACATTTTAATACACATTACTAATAACCATAATAACACTATTTAAAGATACATAATGCCATCATCTTTCAACTTCTGATCTATTCATCTACATACTGATTTTAAAATATTATATAAGAATATATGTAGCAATATTTTCCCTCTTTCTAATTTCTACCTCTATTCTAAATCTTATTAACACAAATCTTATATTAATAGGTATTCTATTTCATCTCTTGCTCATTTTAGTATTTCAATTCTTGTTAATTTTTAGCATGCTTTCCATACTCCTCCCTTGGTGCTTTGTATATCCATGCATCATTCATATTTAATCTAAGTATTCCATATGTCGCTATCTCTATCTCTCGCTGCCAAACCTTCACTACATCTATCAGTGTCTCTATCCTCATTTGAGTACTGTCTTTTGTTTATCCAATTCTATTTTTTGATCTCTAAATGTGTAATCTGCCTGGTCCAATTGATCCATTTTGATTATCTCTGCCTTCTCCTTGTCTTTTTGATTCATTTGTTGTTTTATCATCTCTATCCTTTCCTCTGTTTTTTCCATTTTCTCCTCTATTTCCAGAGTTACCTGTTCATTTTTCATTGTCATTTGCTGAGCTTTTTCTGGTCTCACAACTATATCATGTATCAAATTCTTCATCTTCCTATGTTTCTTTGTTATGGTTTCATGGATACTTTGAAACATCAATAATATTTCTTTTACCTTTCAAGATATTAGAGTCCCGTATTGTATTTAACAAGACTTCTAGTGTTAGAATAAATAGCAATGGGGATAATGGAAATCCCTGTCTTGTTCCTTTTTCAATTTTAAACTCTGTTGTCAAACTTCCATTAATAATAATCTGTGCCTTTTGCTCTTGGTAAATTGCTGAGACCGCCTGTATAAATTGGTCCCCAAAGTCCATCTTTTTAAAAGTCTTTAATAGAAAATTCCAATCCACTCTATCAAAGGCCTTTTCCACATCCAAAAAGACCAGCACTGCAGGTACCTGTTTATTCCTCTCAAGATATTCCAATAAGTCTATTACTTGCCTTACATTATCCTTCATATATCTACCCTCGATGAATCCCGCTTGATCATCATGAATCACCTCTTGGATTACTGGCATCAACCTGTTGGCTAGTACTTTTGCATAAATTTTATAATCATTATTCAAAAGAGATATTGGTCGATAATTCTCTGGTTTTTTTAGGACCTACTTGCTCTTTTGGTATCAAAGAAATATAAGCTGTTGTCCATGATGGGGGTATTTTACCCCCTTGTTGAATATTGCAAAATAAATCTCTAAGTTGTTCCACCATTTCTGCTTGCAAATTTTTATAATACACTGCAGTCAAACCACCCGTTCCAGGAGCTTTAGCTGTTTTTAATTGTTTAATTGCTACTATTATCTCCTCCTCTGTTATAGGATAATTCATTCTTTCCTTTTGTTGGTCAGTAATTTTTGTAACTCTTTTATTATCTAAGTATTTTTCTATAAGTCCATTCTGCACATCCTCTTTAGCATATAGTTTAGTATAATAGTCCACAAAAGCTTCTTTAATTAATTTTTGTTGAAAGATTTCTTTCCCTCCAATATCAATATTATCAATAGTCCGTATACTCTGCTTTTTCCTTAATGTGTAGGCCAACCATCTGCCCGGTTTATTGGCATTACAAAATGTATTATGCTTCGCATATTGTAAGTTTGTTGCAACTTGTTCCGCCATAAGCATTTGAAATTGGTCTTTCAAAAGTTTTATAACACCACGTATTCTTTCGTCTGTTGGGTTTTTAATAAGTAGCTGTTCTTTGTTCTTTATTTCTACTTCCAATTGAGATCTTTTCTTTTGTCGAATCAATCTATGTTTAGAGTTTATATAAATGAGCACCCCTCTCATATAAGCTTTGCTCGCATCCCACACAATTTCAATTGGGGTACCTTTATTCAAATTTATTTCAAAAAATACTTTCAAGTGCTTTTTAAGTTCTATTATATTTTTTTCATATCTGAACAAGTTTTCATTTACTCTCCAAGAACATCGCTCAGTCTTACCCATCTCGATTTCTATCCATACTGGGCTATGGTTGGACAAAGTTCTTGGGAAAATCTTTGTTCTTTTTGTCTTAACAAGTAAATCTTAACAAGTAAACAAAATAAAGTCAATCCTAGAGAAGGATCTATGTCTGTCGGAAAAAAAAGTATAGTCCAATTCTTTTGGATTGTGTATTCTCCAAATATCTTTTAATTCCAATTCTTCTTTCATATCAAAAAAAGTCTGTGGTAGTCTGATCCTGGATTTCGCCAAACTCTTTTTATCTAGTTTAGAATCAATTACTCCATTCCAATCTCCCATAATTAAAATAGATCTGTAGTCCCATTGCAGTATTTTAGTATGTAACATTTTATAGAAATGATCCTGTTGTTGGTTAGGAGCATAAATTCCAATCAAAATAATTTGGCCATTTACCGTAAGCAATTCAATTGCTATAAACCTACCATCTTCATCTGCTTCTATAATTTTAGCTGTTAGTCTTTTGTTTACATAAATAACCACACCATTCTTTTTTTGCAAAGTTGGAGATATAAAATGTGTTCCTAATTTAGAGTTTATCAAGTATTTTTGATCTTGAGTTGTGTGATATGAGTTTCTTGTAAACAAATTATATCATTATTAAATTGTCTCAAGTATGCAAATAACTTCTTCCTTTTCTGTACTGAGTTCAACCCATTCACATTCCAGGATAAACACTTAATTATCATCTTTATCTTTCTGAAGCAACGAGCAGAATAACTGAATATCTTCCGGAATCTTCGGTCTTGCTCCCCCCATGGCTTCAGTCTCTTGTGTAGTGCTCTTAGCTCCCTTTTTATATTGTCTTTCCTGTTGTTGCTTTTCTTTAAGTTGCTTAGATTTTGCACGAGTTATACGCTGATCTTTAACTTCAACCATCTGAGCCGGGTCCAAGATTGGAGAAGATTCTAACAGGGGCTCCTCCAAGAAACCTCCTTCAGCACCCTGCGTTTCCTCTATCTCCACCTGCTTAGACTGTTCTTGCAATTCTTGCTGGAGTTGCTTCTTATCACTCTCCTTAATCTCCAACACTGTAGATGTACGTGGAGATGGTGTTCTTTCTTTAAAAATAGTAGTATAAAAATGCTCCGCCTTCTCCACAGTATTCAAACGATGTCTTTCTCCCTTATACTTCAAAATTATGCCAGTTGGGGCATCCCACCGGAATGGTATCTCTTGTTTTTTCAGTTCGTTTACTAGAAAGCCAAAATCTTTTCTGGCTTTCAGCATTTTAGGTGGTAGTTCTTTGTAAACTCCAATTTGTGTACCCCCCACTTGCACAGAGGTGAGAAAAGATTTTTGCAGGATGTCATTTCTTATTGCTCTGTCTGTAAAATATATCACCACATCTCTAGGCAATTGTCTTTGTCTGGCCACCCAGGAATTCACTCTATAAATTTTGT